CGGCATCGTGCATTTAGGAAATATACCTGGTTGTTTGTGTGTCTGTAAATGATCTCGCTTGCTGTGTTTACTGGCCTTGGGTGTGTCATTCTCTTTTCATGTTCATATTTGTAATATCTTCCCTTTTTGATAAAAAAAAAAAAAACGTCAGCTGTTCTTTATCACATTTCTCCTTTCAGTTTTTGTTGGTTTAAATAAAAAAAGGTAAATGGGAAAAAATCCCCTTTCCACTGTTGTCAATCAACACGACTCACTTTTTGTGCAAAACAATAGTTGCAAGTTATTGTACGTATTGTTGCTTAACAGATCTTTATAACTTCAGTCCACCTTTAACTTGTTGACGTGAGCAGAAACCGTTCCGTAAAATTTGAATTCCTGGTAATGAGACACAGTTTTTCCCATATGGATTTTCATAAACTGAATGTTCATTACTACCAAGATTAGGACTGCCTCTATATATATATATATATAGATGAGATGAGACCGAGCAACAATTAACAGCTGTGTTTTACCATACTGATATTATAATAAATTACCAGTACAGTCTCTGTAAGCCAAAGCATGAATATCAGTTTCATACTATGTATCAATGCTTTTCCTTTTAATGACTATAATAATGATAATTATATACGCGGAGGGAGAGGGAAAAGCAATGGTTTTTGGTCTTAATTTATTGACTCGGTTCTCTCTCAGCAGCACTCTCAGATGCTGTTATTAGGAGATGCTGTAATATACACAGAGCTCAGCTTCCACATCTGTCATCATTAGATCTGTCTTTGTTGTAACAAATTCTTCTGTGCTTCACTTACACTGGATTCAGTTCTGCCAAGCTCATCTTTACTGGGTGTTCCTATTTACAGTACATCAAAACCTTTATTTTTGCTCCATGGCAGATGATCTGTGCTACTGTAGTAGTAATACTGTTGACCGGGGGAGGTTTTTCTGTCTGTGGGTCAATACAATTAAAAAATAGAAATGTTGCCCATATGATTAAAATATTTAGAACAGACTAAATGATAGTCTGCTAAAAATATTGATTAAAAAAGTCTGCATTCAGCTACATCCCTCAGTTTTTAGCCTGTTTCTGTTTGTCACCCTTGATGCGTTATCAGAGCCCCATGCTGCAGGGAGTGATGACATCCTTTTTAGGGGCATGTCTGTGATGTGCTGCCATGCCTGTTGATGTGGCATTAGTGGATGACTGTTGCACAGAGCCCAATCGGCAACAATGCACTGAGTGCTAGATGGTATCGGAAAGCTGTCAGAGCGAGTGTAATGGAAATGCATAACCCAGTCTGAGAACACAGAGGGAGGATTTTGATTCCTCACCTCCTCTTCAGGTCCTATCTGTCTTGTTTAGTCATTCTTTCTCTGGGTTCATCTGTTTGTCACTTCTTTCTTGTTTTTTCATTTTTTTTTGTTGCTGTGGCTTCACATTTATCCCATCTTAAGTAGGGATAGTGAAGCGCTGTGGATGAACAAACAAAGCTTTATTGTCCATTAAAAAAAAGGACAAGACAACACCAACAATAGCTGCTATCTTTGTCCCTTTCACATCTGATGGCTTCCTTAGCACATTTTCTATTTTGCTATTTGTTAAATAGAAGAGAGATGTCATTATCCTTATTGATTAAAGATGCCATAAACTGTTTAAATAATGTAAGGGGATCAAACAAGGTCATTTTACTTATATAAATAGCCAAAAGTTGAAACCTTTTTCACATTATTGCAGACTTAACTGCTCTTCTAGAGTTGTTCATTGTATTACTCGATGTTCATCAGCAGATGGAGTTGCTTAACTTGTGTTGGAGGTGTTTATTGTTGTCCTCTTGACATTGTATTTTACAGCAGTCTTGCTTCAACTGTGCAACACCAGAAATTCACAAATGAAAATTGCTACCAGAACTGAGTTGTACCTTTTCTGCATGATATAAATAGCTTCTTTAGTTATGAGCTTCACTCAGTTTAATATCACAGTTGATGTATGTGATATATAATTCACTGTTCTTCATGCCCACCTTGTCTTAAGACCAGACATTTTTATAACTGATATACAGTAGCACAAGGTACAGTATTTTCTTTTGAGCCTCAACTTCTTTTTCTAGTTAGGCTTCCATGATGTAGCCTTTAATGTTTGGATAGTTTTTCAGATTACTTTGTAGTTTAACACTGAATCTATCCAGTAGAGATGATGATTGATTGTGCTACATTTGAAGAGAGAGGGAAGTCCGGATTTCCCTGTTTCGGCTGCTGCCCCCGCGACCCGACCCCGGATAAGCGGAGGAGGATGATGGATGGATGGATGGATGGATGGATGGATGGATGGATGAAGAGGACAACACATGATACAAGATTCCACACATCAACAGAGCAAATTGAATTTATTGTATAATACCATTACCAAGATACCAAAATATTGTTAAGAATATGAATTACAACAACCCTGAGCGTGTAATAGTGACATCAGGCTTAGTTCAAAATGTTCCACTTGTCCATTGATGGAGGTGTTTGTGATCCTTGGGGAAAGGGAAAGATGTCCCTGGCTGAAGTGCAGGGAAAGCTCTGAGGAACAGCATTGATGTTTTGCTGCTCTCACGTGTCTGCTTTCATATTGGGGCCCTCCTGTTATTTGCAGCCCATCCTATATATCTTCATCTCTCACTGCCAAAAGGCACAAATGAAAGTAGAGAGAGTTGTGTGGGAGATGAAGGAGGTTGTGGCTCTGGGGAGCAAAGCAAGTATTGAGATGGGGTCTGAGCTGTGGAGAGTGGACAGTGTCTTAGAATATCATTATGGAAGTTTGAAAGGTGGAAAGGACTGACAGGAATTGAAGTCTAAGGGTGGAATATGAAGATTTTCCTTAATAATTTCTTGACCCTCAGAATTTCAGTTTTAGTGTTTCAGTGTTTTTAGGTGCCAATTACCTTTAAAAGGGAATCTGTTTTGAGCTGATGCTCGGATATAAGACACAATATTTGACTTAGTTTAGTGAAGTTTATGCATTCAGCAGACGCTTTAATCCAAAGCGATTTAGAAAGTAGGGGGGCACAGAGTTGAACTGGGGACCTCTTGATCTGCGGTCAAATGCTCCACTCAGCTGTTGGATGAATGTAGTTACAATAATCCTTGCTTTTTAAGATTGCGAAATTTTAAACGATTACATTTTTTTCCCCTTTTTAAGGGATGATTTCTTGGAGAAATCATTCTATTCATATTTAAGAGTAAAACTGAGTCGGTGAACAAAACCACAAATGGATGACTCTGAGAAGCCTTTCTTTTTTCTTTAGCCCCACACAGTCTCTAAACATTTCACTGGATCAGACATTTGTTTCTACTTTCATTAGTGTTGATAAGGCAACATTTCCCTGATAAGACTGGCTGTAACAGCTATAGTCGCACATCATCAGATGATGGAATTTAATGACCTGTTGTGACACTGACATCTTATTAGTGAAAGCGATCCACTTAACTAATTTTTCTCACCTGCTAACATTTTTTTCACCCTTGTCATTCTTCTATTTGCTAGCATTGTAAATAATCTGATGCTTTTTGGACATTCCATAACATAGCCACTCATTTTATGCATTTTTGTCTTGTTTTTTCCCCAATCCCCCAAAGTTGAGCCTTTCGTATAACTTAAAAAAAAAAAAAAAACGGCAACCAAAAATATCAAAACGGTGTTAACCTTCACACTTGGAATACAGCTGGAAATGGCTGGAGTACAACTGAAACACCTTCTTGTGACAAATACATACTTACTTAGCTATAATGTGCCATTTCCCCTTCAGACTTTTTAGGAGCCAAAAATAACGAATGGGGCATAATGGTGTATACTCGCATGTGGCTCTGACAAGTCTGCACACTTGTTCTTTTCTCCTCTGGGTGCATTTTCGGAATTGGGACATCTGTCAAAACATGCAGCTGTCGTGATTTCTGGGTCACAGGAAAGACATGGAAGATTGAAAGAAAGAGATGAGGAGCTTGAAATTAAACTAATGAGATGGGCCCTTAGAGCTCTAGTTCCCAGTAAGGACACTTTAATCTTCTACTGAATTACAACTCTTGGCAACCTGGCATCCACCAACCCATCTGATTTTTATGTTAGTCCGGTGTAAGAAGGCAATTTAATCCACTGAACTATGTTTGCCACCCTGTGATCCTGATAAGAAAGTTGACCATCCAGTTTATGCCTGAGTTTTTACAGCAGACATGCAATGCCTTTTAAATGGGATTACATATAATGAGATAAGACACGTCGATAAATGGCCATGTGCTGTTCTAAAATATAAAGGTAAACATGATTAAACAGCCTCTGAGTAGAACTGGGATGTTGGATGGAAAGTGACTGTACTAAATCAATAAGTGTGTTGGACTGAAAAGGCCCAGTGGGCAAGAGAAATACATTTTGGCTTCAGCCTGTGTATCTTCGAAAGCACTGAAGGGAAGTTTCATATTTCTTTTCCAGGTTTTAAAAACCTGATACACTTCTGGAATTTGTACATCCAGACCAGAACTTTTCAAAACACGTTTCAAGTGTTGCTGCCATATTTTTTTTTCTTTTTTTTTTGTCTTGCTGCTAGTTAGAATTTTTGTATTGAATGTAGTTAATCTTTAATTCCACCCTAAGTACAGAAAGCAATTGTTGCTCTTCCGATCACTTCATCCTCTCAACTGTTTTTGCTTCATCCAACATAACTATTTCTATGTGTCCTTTGCTGAATGCCATGAACTCATATTCTTCTCTACCTTTATTTTTTGCAAACCTTTTATCACCTCCTGTCTTTCCAGTCTTTCCTCCTCTCCTGCTATTCCTCCATTATTTCTTTTTTGGGCTGCTTGTTCTTTTCATCTTGCTGCATGCTCCTTTTGTATCGCTGGTGTGTCTCTGCCCATCCATCATGGTTTCCATATATCACTTATCCATCCCACCCCACTTCTCATCCCTCTGCTGCTTACCTTCACTCTTCCTAGTGTCACTCTCTGTTTCTACTCTTCCACAGAACCATGAGCGGGAAACAGCCCTCCACTGTGCTGCTCAGTATGGACACTCTGAGGTGGTTTCCGTGCTGCTTCAGGAGCTGACTGACCCGACTATGAGAAACAACCGGCAGGAGACACCTCTGGACCTGGCAGCACTTTATGGACGTCTGCAGGTCAGTGAATTATTATTATTATTTTTTATTTCAAACTTGAGCATAGCTCTTATTCATGCCTTTTTTCACAATGGTCAAGTGTCATGATTGATTGGCAGCAACTTTTGATTTTTCAGCCTTAGGTTACCTGAATGTGTCTTCACCTGGCTAATCGGTGTTTAACAATTTCAACAGAATAGATGTTCCGGAATGTGTCACAATGCTTTTCTCACATCTACAGGATAGAAGCAGAACACTCCTTAAGAGCAGCTTCATTTAATGTGGAAGAGACACTTCAAAATGATGACAGTCTTTGCAATAAGTGGGATTAAGATGCAGATACTTTTTTTTTTTACACCTTAGGCAGAGCACCAAAGATACCAAAACATGTAGGGAAACCTAAGCTGTAGTTGGAAAACAGTTCAAGCTCATACTACTTACTGTCAATAAAGAACAAGTCTATAGTAATGATAGCATTTGAGTTTTGGAGAAAACATTCTGATTGATTGTTTGATATGATGGATCAGTGCTTGATTTGAGTTTGCTAACAATAACCGAAATGAATAAGTCCAAATAAAAAAAACACAGACGTACCCACTCACTTGCTCACAGGTTGGTAGGGTGAGATCTGCTGTTGAATAGCTGGATCTCTGTATGAATTATGTATCCTTGCTGGTAAGGAAGATAAAGCAGTTTATGTGGATGTATCGGTTACTAAGGGCATTGCAAAAGATCGGCCTTTTCAAATGATGAACTCAAAAAGGATTGATTAGAAAAACATCCTCAGAGAGGGGGCCAGGTACAGATGTGCAGAAGTGTGACTTTTCTTTTGTCAGAAATGTAAAAAAAGCCACACACACTATCATCTTCTCACTGAGAGGATCTGCTACAAATGTCTGATGATGTTGAAGTTCAGTCACATATTCTTTCTGCTTAGGTAACTGGTAATTGCAGTCAGGCTATACAGGTTTGTATGAGTGAATGAATAATTTATAAAAGCTGCACGGGAGAACTCTCCCTGCATAGTAATGAAGGGAAATCCCTGTGCTGGAGTATGCGACTGCATGGAGATGTAACCAACCCAGGGAATAAGTTTGGTATTCTACAAACAAACATAGATAGATGAACCTTTCAAGGGACTGGGCCATGAAATTATTACAAACAATAATAACATCCATCCAAATATAAAGAGTTTGACCTTCTCTTATAGAATACCGTTAATTGCCAGGATTTTTAATATTACGCTGAAACATGTAATTCATTTATTTTGTTTTTGTTTTGCGAAGTTGATGTTATCATCTGTTGGATATGAAAAAATGTATGCATGTAACTTGTTTCAGCATTAACCTGTATAGTGCTTGACAACAGAAACTTGTGTTAGTGGGTTAATGAAAGTGAATAATGACCAGTTTTCCCTTGTTTATTGTTCATCTTTGATGTGTAGCTGTGTTTTTGTGTGCAGGTGGTACGCATGTTGGTGAATGCTCACCCTAACCTCATGACTAGTCACATTCGCTTGCACTCTCCGCTTCACTTGGCTGCACGCAACGGACACCATAGCACCGTCCAGACTCTTCTTGAGGCCGGCATGGACGTCAATTCTGTGGTGAGTCAAATTCCATCTTGGCTGTTTTTCCCGCTGTCAGCTTTAAGGGACAAAATAATGTTGCATTTTGAGAAATTTCTCCATTTCTCTTTTTGAAAATGGTTTGTAGTTGATACAGTTTTAAATGATCCACTGTTTGTAAACCTTAAAAACAGAAAAAGGATTTGTATGTATGTAGATGTAATATATAAAACGTGCAGTGCTGTGCATCTCTGTATGTATATGATTTGTCGAGGCTTTTTTTCACCTTTACCAGTCAACACCAAAAATCCCTGCTGTTTGAAGCTGTCACTTCAAAGTTAGAATATTTTTTTTTATGATCATAAAGGTTTGAGGGGGAGACCGTCTTTAAGATTTTTTTTATTCACTTGTAAGCATCAATAAGCTGCTGACTCTGAATCAAGACACAAAACGAGTAGACTGGGAAGTGGCAGACTTGGGGAGCAGTGTCTATTGGTTTTTCTCGCCATATCTGAGACTAAACTGTCAAAAGATGTTTTGAAGAAGCACATATTTTTTAAACTCTAGGTTTACAACACTAACTGCATAGCAGATGAATTGCTGTTCATGCACGTTATGTGAAAGATGAGTTTAGAGTTTGGTCACATCACACCCTCCAAAAGTATGTTCAGATATCTCAAAGAACATTCTTTCTGAATTTATGGGTGGGCTTGTGTACCTAATGTGTGTTCCATCACTGAAAAAGCAGTCTTGTTTCAACCAGGGCATCATTATTGTGTTGTCACACGATGATGATGCACGGTTGAACCATCTTGCTCTCACATTTTCTCTTTCATTTGTCTGATGTTGATGGTGATAGGCTGCTGTAATGAAGTGATGGAGTGTTAAATCCCAACCCAAATAAATCTATTTGATAGCGATTACACAATTGACACAGCAATAACTGGAGCTTTTCTGCTTTGGCATGGAAATTATGGTTGTTGATTTAAGGCATGTTGGCACTGCAGCATGGTTCAGGGAAAGGTTGAAGATTTAAGGGAAGCCCTCTGCTTCCCTTGACCTGCACAGGCTTGCTTCCCCCAGTTGGATTTCAAATGGTTTGTTTTTTCTTGCATTTATGCTTAATAGCAGTTTAGTGATGTTATTAATGTCCAAAATCATTTCCTTATGATGAGCCAGCAGTCTGTTCTTTACATTGGTGCGTGGTCTGCCACGTTTAATTGCCTGATACATTAAGGAGTGTTAAAGCAGCTCCCTTCTTTCTTACTCCAATGTTTGTCTCTTCTTTCATTCTAACTTATTTTCTTATAACTGTTGGAACTGCAATTGATAAAGACGGAGTGGCTTTTAGCATCTTATAGATGGCCTCCTTTAAATTGTTACAAGTGGAAAAGAAATGCTTTGTGTGACTGTGTACAGGTTAGTATTTGGAGTCAGGCCATGTAGGACTGTCTGAATGTGAATAAATAATTAATTCAAGGACCTCAGCCGCTTTTTTCCCCTTGTGTGACTTAGTGTGCCTCTTTCACACTCTCCATGCTCCTTTCAGTATTCATAATGAGGGGAAGTCCCTGTGGAGGATCATGCTGTTGTGCAGGCAAGCAGCCAAACAAAGGGCAAAAGTTGAGTGTTTTTTTTTTTTTTTTTTAAAGAAAAAAATTTAACCACAGTCTACAATGAGAGGATGGAACTGCCTGAACAGCTTTTGTATGAGTACAGTTGTTCTGCAGGTAAAGAACATAACCACGACAGGCAGCTGCACATGTGAATAGAATCAAACACGAGCTGCTAATAACAGCGTTTCAAAAATAAATTAAGCTGCAAACACAAATACAAACTATACACCATTCTTTGCAGATCTGTTGTGGTAGTCAAGACTGTTTATTCGTTCATCTCATCATTCCAACATCAACAGTGACTGATAAATGTCTGCCTGCTGCTCTGAACCAGAGTCCTCTGACTTTCAATGGCAGGAAACTCCTAGAGAGCAAGAACTATATTTCTCCTTCCCTTGTGACATCACTGCATAATTGTTATGGGAAACAAGACAGGAAGTGGTATGGGAGGTTTAGTAGGGTAGGTTATGTGTATCAAAAAAAGGATTGGCTCTCCTCATGTGCTTCCACCCCCTTCCACATGTGTGAGAGTAGAAGATTGGTTCTTCAACTTAGACCTCCACATGATGCACACATCGAAGCTAGGCAGTTCTTTGTGTGTGCATTCACGTTGGATTTACACCTGGAGTTCTATCTTGAAAATACTGGACCAATGACCTCTGACTTTTTTTATCTTGTAAGATCTTTGCATCTCTTAGAGAGCTTTGTTTTGTCTGTTTTCTGTGGCGTTGACACATTTATTCAAAGGAAAAGTGAATGGCTACAGTAAGTTTAATATTCGCTTGGGAAAACAGCCATGCTTATCTAATGCTGTATTTTGAGTTGAATTTCCTTCCAGTGTATTTATCAGCAGATCTGGCTTTCATCCAAATGATTTATCTTCATTAAGGCTGGAAGTTGCATTCAATGCTGGTTTTCATCTGTATTGTCAGGAAGCCAACCATGAAGGAAGTAATGTATTTAGCATACAGTGTGTCTGTGTGTGTTACTGTGCATGTGCTGGTATTTTTTTACTGGTTGTGTGCCTTGGGTGTGTTGAAATGCATGTCTTACAGGGCGTTATTGCGTGAGATGTGTATGGGTCAGTACTTTCAATGTCAAATCAAAACATGAACTGTAGAAACGTTGATGATTCTATAGAGAAATAACTGCATTGAAAGAATTCAAACAGGGAGTATTTAATTAACTGTTAAAGAAGAAAAAAATTCTAATGAATGCTAAGGCATTTTTGTTTTGTTTACATCTTAAATTTTTAATTTTCATATTGTGAAAGTGATCTAATGTTTATATGCTCATGCTCTCTTCATCTGTTGTAGACTGAGAATGGCAGTGCCCTCCATGAGGCGGCTCTCTTTGGGAAGATGGATGTGGTTCGTCTTCTGCTGGACTCCGGTTGGTCTATGAATATAAGTTTTCTAAACGTGTATGGTGATGGATAAATCTAAGTATATTTACCATTAAAATTGATAAGAACAATATATGTTTATATACGTATATATAGATGTGTATATGTGTGGGTTATTGTTAGTATAGTACACTTTCTTTCTCTGTCTTGCATCCTTACCGACAGCTTAGATCCATGTATTGTTCCTATTATTGTAGGTGAATTAGCTCTCTGATTAATATTTGGCTTCTTCCTGCTGCATTCCTTTGCAATATCTGTACATATTTGACTGATACTGAGTTGATACTGTTTTGGATGTTTTCCTCCTCAGGAATTTTAGAAAGATGTTATGTTGAAGATGCGTTGAAGATGATTGTTACTCACTTGAAGCAGATCTCCACCTCTGAATTAGACCAGAAACTAATTTTGATTAGAATATCATAAGTCTATGAAAATGATTAAAGCTCAATGGAAACAAAACAATATGACCTCGCATTGGATAATGATTGGATAAAACACAATAATAGGGTAAGATGTGGAAGAACAGTTTAAACATTGTTTTCCTTTGATACTGCTGCCATCTACCACCCACTTCCCTGCAGCACTTCCTGTTTCCTGCAGGACTTCCTCTGTTTGGCCACGTTCTTTTTGTCCTGGATCATATGAACATCCTGGTTCAGTGTAGTACCGCATCAGCTCAATTTAGTGAAACGATTAAGTTCTGCGCATGACTGCTAATGTTGGGTTGATTTGAAATTAAAAGTGTGGAAGCAGGGAAACATCTAAAACCTGCAGGACGATGGCTGTCGAGGAAGTTTGAGATCCACATCTATTTTTTTTTCTTTTTTCGTTTGCATGACATAGATAATCTGGAGGTGTTCCACAGCCCAGGCTGTGAGAGTGTCACAGTGACTGCAAATTACCTGAATATTTTGATAAAATGATGTACTGTAAATTGCGGGATCTTTAAAGTCATCACATTGTTCTGAAATTGTTCCACAGTTTGACGCTTTTTCTTAAAGTTAAAAAATAAATAAAGTTCAGATCCTTGTTTTGGAATGTTTGACATTCATAGGCATAAGTCATAAGCAACATGCTTTCCTCCTTACACATGACGTATTCTGGTTATGTTTCAGGAATCGACACTAATCTGAGAGACAGTCAGGGGAGAACAGCTCTGGAGATTCTGAAAGAACACTCTGCTCCTAAATCACAACAAATAACTGCTGTTATTCAAGGTGAGACGCATAGGTTGAGTTCACTTGGGGGAAATGTTTGTTTGGAGATCAGTAATGAGCTTCATTGGCTGTAGGTGACATGACAGACTGTTAAATGTGGTCGCCATAGAAAATTGCAGCCTCCCTGTGAATGTTGAAAGTGGATACGAAAAATGTTTCTTTTTTTTTTTTTAAGGAATTGATCTTCTAGTATGGAACAATGGGAGCTGCTGTACATTTTGCGTTTAACTACAGAAGACAAATATCTTTCTTACCAAATCTGACATTTGAATAAGATGGTTATCAATGGAATGTGGGTTTGAAATGAGGTATTGTTTGTTGTTTTTTTCTTTGTCAGTTACATGTAGCAGGGTTTTGTGTTAGAAATGCAAAACAATTATTTCTGTGAAACTAAAGAAATGGGGGTTTTGATGACATACATTTGAAAAACATGAAAATGCAAAACACATAGACATTTTTATATATATAAGTTGTAGACAAACTGCCATCATTTTCAGATTGTGTGCAACTTAAACTTTCATGGTGTGGACGTGTCCCACCCAGTGTTGCTGCTAAGCTGCCTGGATGGTTGTGAGAAAGTGAGTTAGCCATTCTAACAGTGACAATTATGGCCGCTATGCATCTCTAATCACAGCTTTCACCCGTGAAAGTTGGTAAAATTATAAGAAATTTGGCCTGTGTTGGCAGTTAACTCAACTCTATCACTTTTGCTCTCCACTGAATACATTTAAGAATCCACTTACTGCTTTAGCTCTCTAAGATACACACATTTTTATAACTGGGCTACTTGTATCACTATATTGGTTGGGCTAGGCCTTAAATACTTAATGAAAAACTGTTTAAAGGCAAAAAGGCACATTTCAGTTTACTATATCTCTTAATCTTATTTCATACACAGTTGTGTTTTAACACAGTATGCTTTTACGTTTCAATTTGTTTTAATCTAATTTTTCAAGCAGGATATATTTTCACAGTTAACTTTTTATCTTCCACGGACATTTTTTGTCTCATCCACACTGCAGTGTGTTTGACCATAATTGTAGTGTTAGTTTCCTCCTCAGTCCCTTGGGACCAAAAAATGGCACTTTCTAAAGAGTGTCAATTCAAACACTGTAATCTGTGGCTTGGAGGCCTTATCCATCTCTCATTGTGCAATCTGTGGATGTATGTTGGGTGTGTGGTTGCAGAAGATTTAGAGATCGCGATAAAGCCGTTCAGAAACTAATGGGTCGGAGGATGAGGAGAATACATGACTCAAAATGAGCTGGAAATCAGGAGGTACAGATAGAAAGGGGAACAGTTCCATGAGTGTGACAACCTGGCCACAATTAGAAAATAACATATTTGGTGCTGACATTTAACCAGGGAAAACACGATGAATGTAAAGAGAAGGGCAATTTAGATATAGTTGCTAATTTCAGCTACCCCTCCCAAAAGAAATGTTTACCACAACAAGAATGAGACTCATACTACATATTAAAAAGAAAAATAGAATGTGGGTTATAAAACTTAGAATAAACTAGTTTTCTCTTTTGTACTCAGTTTGCTTTAAAGTTATTACAGTAATTTGTCATTAGTGGGAAATACTGATTTCACAGATATTCATCTTTCAAGCTTGTTAACATGTCAGTCTCTTTTATTCATTTATTTTGCCAATTATAACAATAAGCTTAGGACAAAGCTTTGGTTTGAGTGACTAACCATAGACTGAGCAGTAGAGCTGAAAATGTTTTTGTAGTCTGGACTTCATGTAACTTGTGCCTGATGTGTATTTCATTAAATATAGAGGGAGTAAAGTAAAGATGTCAAGCACAGTCTTTTGTTTAATTTTGAAATGTAAAAAGTTAATGTCAGAATTTTGTTTGGAATGAATAGTGGCCATCAAAATCTGATCTCACCAAGCCAAAGGTGGAGAGAGACTTGGGCATCCGCATAAATAGGAGTGTGAATGTGTGCACATTAGAAGGAAGAGCTGCAGAGAAAGGGCACAGCTGTGACTTTGTGAAAAGATCAGCTGCATGCCATTTCCTGTTGGAGAGGAGATGGAAACGGACACACACATACAAACACAAAGAGAAAACAACCTGTCATTTACTCAATTGTACCAGCTGAGGGGCTTCTTGGAGACCGTCATTGGCTCATTAGCAATAAATCTTCATTTGATTTACAGGGCTGAATTCATTCTGCCGTTCAAATGAGAAGTTTGCTGGTTTACTGCCTGGCAGCACCATGTTGAGTATTACATTGCTGTGCAGTTACTAAGCTGTGGGACTTATTTATTTTATTTTATTCAATTTTACAGACTCTAATCTTGTGCAAATTAGGACGTGAAGCCAGTATTCTTGGTAATACAATAAAACAGATGTGTAGTTTTGTCTTGGACTCCACCACCTAATTTACTGTGCTGTGTAATTGTGTAATTTACTATCCATCCCGCTGCTCAAACTGTTTAGCATTCTGATGGTTGTGCTACATTGATCCAGTCAGATGCTTTTTGTCTCATCCCATCACACTGCCTTTAAATTCTCTTTCAGGCTTCCATCTTAAACTTTATTGCCCAAGTTAAGTGACACCATGTAAACTAGAATTTGCGCTAACGTACTCAGATATGATGCTCTAAATGTACATTTAAATCATGAAATATTAAGCTGTTTTTGTTATCTTTAATTAGTTTTTAATGTTTTTCAATTGGGTCAGTGACTGAGGATGAGATGGTGTTTTTCTGTTTTAAGCTTGCACTGGGGTAACTGATGCGTTGAATGACATCAGCCTGCATTTTTAAAGCTGTCTAGAGAGTCACTGATTCGGATTCATGTTTTACATTTTGGCATTCACCAACCGGGCAAAAAATCCGTAGACTGTTTTAATCTGTTTATAATTTTTACTGAATTCAAACCACCTCTATGTCATTGGCATAGTGGGGTCTTTTTCCCCCAACTATTTACTATTTCAGCAGAGGGAAGACAATTAGTTTTATTTCTCACTTTCATGGCTCTTTTTGGCTTTACTTATTCACTCCGTTTTGTCTTAGATTCTTAGATGGGTAGGATGTCTTTTTTTATTTCTTCTTTTGAGTGTACTTGGCAGTTAGGAACCAGCTTAGAGGCACGTTTGTGTGTAGGGAACCAGAGTCTTTATACAGCTGGCTTCATTGATTGAGTGACTGAAAATGTTGCATGTTGATCACTGGGATTGATATTAATCTGTTTTCTTCCTGCCAATATCAACCCGCCAACTCAATTAACATACATAAATGTCCCTGTGCCTTTGCAGAATATATGATGGACGAGATGGACAAGCAGAGTTTTGTAGAGCCTGTTCGAAAGGGTCCCGTTCCAGCACCTCGAACGTCTGTCCCCTCGCCATCTGCTTCCCCCTCCCTCAGACACAAGAGTAAGTAAAAACAAATGTGCGTTCATACAACAAGCACAGTGCAGCTAATTGACACAGAGAAGGCTGCTCACACCTGATATTAACATGCAATTTGTACAATTAAGTTGGAATGGCTTTAAGGTCAGACCTCTGACGCCACATTTGAAGGTTGTCTTTGGTGCTTGTGAAATGTTCATTGAACTACCTTCACTTTGTAGACACACAATGATTGTTGATTTGTTTTTTTCAAATGAGCAAATTATGTTATGGAAAACCAGTCATGGCAAGCGGCTCTTTTAAGGAGATTGTCTTACATTACAGTACAATTATCCATGCATTTACTCTGTTCAATACTGCCCTCTTTGTTATGAATAAGACATTGCAAGAGGCTGGGTTTATGCTGATGTGAATTTCTCTCCTGTTGACTGTCAGCAGACACCGTAATTATCTTGATTTGAAATAAGTCAAAAGAAATGGAAAGTCACTTTCCTCCTCATGACAGGTTTTCAGAGGTTTTCACCTCATGAAATATTACAGGAATCACATGGATGCTATAAGAAACATTTGATTAAATATTTTCTTTTGAACCCCTTTCTCTTCCACCTTCTGACTCGCCTCAGATGATGCTGTGACAAGTGAACTGTCAAAACTGCTCCACGAGATCAAAAAGTGCCGGGACAGAGACTACTCCTTCGAGGAGTTGTGCCACACCATCTCCTCCCACTCCATGGACAGCTTTGGCAGTGGGCGGCTGTCTGATGAGGATCGCCCGGATAGATCCAATGGCACTCTGACTCAAAGTAGCAAGGTACAGTTTGGGTGAATTTCTGTTTCTTTTCAGTTTTTTATGATTCATGTGGCCTTTCCCTCCTGGATATGAAAACTAATTGACTGATCAGGTACATTGAAAAAGTAGTATGTAGCATCACATATTTGATCAAATAAATAAAACAAAGATTTGTAGCATCTTATTCATAACTGAAGAGTAAAACCAATCCCATTGATGAAAGAAAACTATGACAGACAGAATTCAATAACACAGGTATTAATGTATAAATGAAATTAATGAAAAGAGCTTTTTTGTTGTCATGTGGACATAGCACACAGTTAACGAATCAATGTTCGAAGTGCCAAAATGCCTTTTTGTCTTGATGTTAACGCTGTGTAGCAGTCTTTTTCAAAGCAGATATTTTGACATTTGACAGGAAATGCATGCTCCTATCAATGATGGTCACATTCTTGTTAAGAAGTTCCTGTTACTTTCTATGCTGCGTGATATTTGAACCACAAGGAATTTTACCATGAAAAAATTTACTTTCTTGCTCTGAGAAGTTGAATTATCTGCAAAGGTTTTTTCCAAGCAGATCATTTTTTCATTCAACATTGCCTTTATTTCCTGGTTGTCCAACTCTCTGAAAGCTGTCAATAGTCATTTTTGTATCTGCAATAATTTTCATCCAAATTGTATACCTTGTATAACTTGTAATTTTGCCTCTACGAATATTAACACACAGAGATCCCTTATACTTTTATACTGATCTTCTACCACATGAGGGGCCTGTAAAAAAAAACTTTTAGTTCAGCTTTATCACCAATGCACTTGAGCTAAAAATCACAATTTGTACTTAGTCTGTTTTGACAGCAGATGGCAGCATCTGTCAGATGCCACCAAGCCAATTTTCCCAGCAGTCTCTTCAGACCGCTGATGTTAAAACGCTTTTATATTATTTGCCCTAAAAATGCTGTCATATTTTTCAAATACATTTCTTTTTTGTTGTTGTGGCCTTTTGTTTTGAAAAAAATAATGCATTATTAACAAACTCCCCTTCCCTCTGCACATTCCCTTATTTATAAACTCATAAAGGAAGGATAAAACCTTAGTGTTTTTTTTCTTTTACTTAAAGGGGTTAATAGATTTTTTTCTGAGCAGTGAAAAACACAGGGAGTGTTGCATGACAAAAATGGAACATCCTTTTCCAATCCAATTGCTAAGGAAGTCAGAAATCACCCCTCCACCTGTGACTTCGGCCCACACATGTTTACATGCAGAGGTTTTTGAACAAATGTGATTGAGTATGCTTTTTGCTTCCCGTTTTCTTATGACAGCATGTCTGCTTTCTATTTCTTTCCACCCAAGTACTTTGCCATTGATCAATAGCTCGTCATTTTTTTCATTTCTGTAATAAGATCACTTTGAGTCATGTGTACAGTACACGCAGTGAAACAAGCGCTTAGCCACTGCGAAGTGGCACACACCTGTGCATTAAGACTGAGCACACAGCTTTTTTCACATACTCTGTAATTATCAAAGCCCATTATGCGTTCACCTCTCTCTCAATAAATGCTCATTTCTATTCCATCATAGGATTTCTCCGTACATGCATGTGTATGTTCCCTGCCTGAGCATATGGCCAGGACTATCAGCAGGTGACTTAATATGTCTGGTACTCTAACTCTTATTCTCAAGAACATACATGCTCACCAGCTTTGTGCCCACTCTATTTATTGATTGAGAACTGAAGTGAGATTGGACATTTAAAAGAGCAATATATGAAATCAGTCACTGATATCAAATCAATTGATATTTTAGGACAAATTTATGCCACTGACACTTTACCAGTACTCATTTAACCTGTATGTTAATCTCTCATCTCTGTTTTTATCATGGCTGCAATACTCCTATTATAAATGAATCCAGACAATGATGATAACACACTTTTGCCTTTTGATTGAAGTGACTGGTGTCTGCCAATGTTGACATGAATTCAGTGTTGTCAGTCCTTTCAATTCATCCTCATCCATCTGTTGAGCTAAATTAAAAAACAACCAAAATCACTTGGGAAATGTCCTGGTGTTTTGTGAAGGGCTTAAATTAACCCTATACAGGATGTTTTTCTATTAAGTGGTTGTGTTATCCAAATATGAATTGGCAGCAACAGGAAACAGTAGCTTTTCATACTGGAAATTTGACCATATTTCTTGTTTTGCCATTTACCTTTTACATAAATGTTTAACTATACTGCACTCTGTAAAAGTCAGCTGGGCTAGCTTTGAGGCAGAACCTTAGAGCAGTTCTGTTATATAAAGCTGATATCAGATTTGAATGTAGTGAAAGGATGTAACCACTTTCCAGGCTTACAGTGCAGCATAAAAGACTGCATTCCATTTTTGATCGATCAGTATTCAAGTGTTGCAAACAGCCCTCTGCAATCTGGAGCCAACAGTGACCTTTTGCTTTCAGCCTCATTTTCTGCCTCCACTCTTGCTGCTTTTCTTTGCTCTTCCCATCTGTCAATTGCTCTTTTTGTAACTTTTCGGGGGGTTCACAATTATCTAGAGGCTGTGGCTTTAACTGTTATTTCGTGCCTCCATAACACTTCCTTGAGCTGTCCTCCTGTTCCATAGCTGCACTGGTCTGAAATCATTTTATGTTATGATGTCTGGGTCTGCTGCAGCATGTGATTCACAGAGATGAATCCGCCCTCTTGCTCCTCATGCCTCTGACCTTATGCACACTCCGGGCCCCCTGAGAGGCAACAATACCCAGTAATAAGGACACTGTGTGCATGTGCAAGTTCACTTTATTTAGCCTTTTCAACACTTTTTATTTTTATGGTGGCATAAAAGGAAGTGACATAATTGTTTTTTAGCTCATTTAAAAATGAATGATGTTCGCTTTGCATTGCAAAGTGTCCAACAGAAAGAGATTTGCTTGACAGAAATGGCTGAATCTTGGGTCACTCCATTCTTCACAGTAGTCTTACGTAAACGGCTAAGATTTCAAACACCACAGAAGTTATAGGCTGTAAAATAAAAACTTTAACGCTAAGGACAGCCTAAGCTTAAGAGAATAGCACAGTTTGGTTAGCCATTTAATGTTTTGCCTTTAACAAAATGACATCATGCACTATGTCTGTGGACCTGCTTGATGCAGCTATTTTTTGTTCCCATAAACTTGATCATCAACAAGCCATTTGTGCTCTAACCTTTGGTTCATGTGCCAATGTAGTTGTACACAACTGTGAACAGTGAAGCAGACATCAGGACCGGATAACTGGTTGAAACCAACACACGGACTAAATTTGTCATGTAGCAAATCTCTTATGAACAGACTGGCTTTATGTATCTTCATTATCACATGTTGTGGGAGGAAAAAATGCCAATTATTTATGAAATGCAGATTTGTTCAAAAGTTTTTGTTTTTCTTATTGTGTTCAAAACAATGTCACAATCTCATTTACAGAAGGGCAAATGTGGCGCTCTGATAAAATACCACTGGAATGGTAACTGTTACAATTGGGCTTTAGAAAGGGGGGGGGGCATCAAAAAGTCCCACTCTAGTGCATCTCTGAAAAATTGATTTGACATTATCCAGTCATATTGGCAAGCACAGAGTTTCCATAAATGACGTCATGTCCCTTTAAATGGTCTTAATCCAATAATACAATTTTAAGTCTATTTTTTCTCGTTTCTCCTTTATGTTGTGAACCATTGAAATAATATTCAAGGTGTTTGTGACCCTTTTTAAACTGTGTGCTTGTGATGGATTGAGAAGTGTTACTTTGTAATATGCTCATTCTCTCTCCTGAAGCCACATCTTACAACTTTATTTTCCAGCACCACACCACACCGTTTTTTTCCCTAATTCCCTTCACACGTTTGTCCTTTTTCTAAAAACAACAAGATCACATGTACAGCTGCTCGCACAGATGCTTGATTTTTGACGTTACCTCCCACAACTCGAGCGGAAGCCAAAGAGCAAAAATTTTCTCCACATTTTTATCTGTGGTAACTCTGTCTTGTATTTTCCTTTCATCCGTTAATGAACTCACCTTCTTAATATGTGTAACTTGGTATACTGGCTGTCTTGTGACTGTGTTTTAATATTTCCTTTGACAGAGACCATCTCCACCTCTCGCTCCAGCTAAAGAGGAAGATGAGGCAGAAAAGACTTGTGGCCCCACTGGCTTCTGGGAGGCTTTTACTCCTTGCAATGGCTGCCACAACCTTGGCTTTTCTAGTCCATCACAGGTAAATACACTTGGTGCTTTACACAACAAAATAACCCAAATGGATAATTTGTACTCATGCACACAAAGATATGTATCAAATAATGTTCACATGATTTTCATATATCTGTTCAACCCACAATTATTGCATGTTTTTTATGAAAGCATGCACACATTTATAGTGAAATTACAGGCCAGTGATGGTACCATTGTTCTGAGTGAATTCTTTCACTGGTTACCTTGGGAACACAGTGAATAAGATGTTACTTGAGGGATTGGTTTTCCTGGCAGTTCTGGCTGCTCTGTCTAGTTACTGTTGAACTCTACTTATTAAAGATGTCTTAAAACCATCTAGTTTTTGGAGCTTGTATGTTCATGAGGAGAACTTGACTCGTGAACTTTGAATAACATTTAGACATCTGAAATACTTGATATGTTCATCATTTTTCCGAGGCGATTATGAATATTATAGGAATACAGTTCATAGCAGATAAGAGTGGTTTATTAGATTTCTTTACAAAAAGTCCCATTACAAGAAAAATAAGAATAAGTCAGATTCCCTGTGCGTTTCCTTGAGATCCTACTGCAGTTATTCTTCTTCCTTCCTACTTATTCATCACCACATGCTGAGATATAAGTGTGGTTAAGTGTGTGTAGATGAGTCTATGAGTGTTTAGCGGCAGGATGCATGCTGGCTCAAACAGCAGGACACCTGACATTTGCAAGACAACAGACCCTGTGTCTTGTATGCTGGCGGCCTGCCTGACTGATCAGGCTGGCTGCCCAGAGAGGGTTGCAC